AAGAAGGGAAACATTAGAGCTTAGAGAGGTAGAGAGGATAGGAAACATTAGAGCTAACACAGGTAAAGAAGAAAGGAAACATTAGAGATAACACAGGTAAAAAAGAAGGGAAACATTAGAGCTTAGAGAGGTAGAGAGGATAGGAAACATTAGAGCTTAGAGAGGTAGAGAGGATAGGAAACATTAGAGCTAACACAGGTAAAGAAGAAAGGAAACATTAGAGCTTAGAGAGGTAGAGAGGATAGGAAACATTAGAGCTAACACAGGTAAAGAAGAAAGGAAACAATTAGAACTAAAACAAGTAGAGAGGAAAACATTAGAACTAAATAAAGGAGAATGAAGCACTAGGATACTTACTGACAAAGATGTTCTCCCAAAGTCAAGGATGTTGTCAACTGTTGCTCCTCTAGACTTGACAAGAAGGGTTGAACACATGACCGCAGCCTGTGAACAAAATGCCCCGAACAAGCTGCTTCCACCCAGGGGGCCCCGACCCATGTTTCAGTGCTGAGCGGAGCAGCTGACGCTGGCGACCCCATCAGTACAAACAGGACAACATACAAGTGAGCACACAATTTCGCCAGTGAGCAATTTCTGGAAGCTAACCAAGACAGAACCGGCAGGCGAGCAAACTTTAAATGTTTGTGCAACTGTCTGTAAGTGTGTCCGTTGTAGGGCGTACCACGTGACCTATGCCATAACGTCTGCTGATGGAATAATTGTCCGGAGTTCTGCCCGTCCTCTTGTGACCTCGACATTTGCACCAGACAATCGACAGAGGAGAACTGGCACTTTCTGCACTCTCCCATACCGTCTGTTGGGGGGGGGGGGGGGCGATGAGATGCCTCTGTGAAATGACGTAGGTAAATACCTGAGATATTCACTGCAATGAGACACTTGATAGCTAGATAACTCTGTACAACGAAATAGCTTTCCTATCTTGAAACAGTTCAGATAACATCTACGATAGAATTTACCAAATAAAACACATCTCACTATCAAAAATCCTTTTGGAATTCTCTCCTGAGAATGGAAACACACTGCTGGACTTGGCTCCACCCGGGATCCTTGAAATAAACTGCAGGACTGGGTCCATAACGACCAGTTCTAAACCTAGTGACGTTTGACCAACCTCCACATTCCAAAGGACAAAAGACTCGGCGTGTCCTCGAGCAAGCAGTGATGGGATCAGACTGTTTCAATACGTTTGACCTGAGAACGACATCCAGACAATATACTCAGACTACAGACTTTCTACTTCACATTCCTTCCGCATTTGGTTTCTAATTGCTGAAGTTTCTTCTGTCTGAAGATCCACAACTGTTTACATATTATCTTCTATCTTCTATCAGACTTTTTTTTCGAAAATGACCTTGATTTCCAGGTCGACCCAGCCTTGAGTGGGCACCGGGTGCAGTCCCGGGAAGTAAAGGCGGTTAACGTGATGCTGACCACATCACCCATCTTGTGCCGATTGGTCTATTAAAATAGAGATCTGGCCCTATATGCCCTATACGCATAGAAGATACTCATAGTTTCACACCTTAACGTGTTATTTTCTCCCGTCTCCTGTCAGAGTTTCACACCTTTACGTGTCATCTTCTCCCGTCTCATGTCAGAGTCTCACACCTTTACCTGTTATTTTCTCCCGTCTCCTGTCAGAATTTTACACCTTTACGTGTTATCTTCTCCTGTCTCCTGTCAGAGTTTCACACCTTTACGTGTTATTATACCTGTACGTGTTATCTTCTACTTCTCTTGTCAGAGTTTCACACCTTTACGTGTTATCTTTTCCCGTCTCCTATCAGAGTTTCACACCTTTGCCTGTTATCTTCTCCCATCTCCTGTTAGAGTTTCACAAGTTTGCGTTTTATCTTCTGCTATCTCCTGTCAGAGTTTTATACTTTTGAGTGTTATCTTCTCCCGCCTCCTTTCAGAGTTTCACAAGTTTGCGTGTTATCTTCTCCCGTCTCCTGTCAGAGTTTCACAGGTTTGCGTGTTATCTTCTCCCGTCTCCTGTCAGTGTTACACACCTTCAAGTGTCATCTTCTCCCGTCTCCTGTCAGAGTTTCACACCTTTACATGTTATCTTCTCCCGTCTCCTGTCAGAGTTTCACACCTTTACATGTTATCTTCTCCCGTCTCCTGTCAGAGTATCACACATTCAAGTGTTATCTTTTCCCGTCTCCTGTCAGAATTTCACACCTTTACGTGTTATCTTCTCCCGTCTCCTGTCAGAGTTTCGCACATTTACGTGTTATCTTCTCCCGTCTCCTGTCATAGTTTTGCACCTTTATATATAATATTCTACCGTCTCTTGTCAGAGTTTCGCACCTTTACGTGTAATCTTCTACCGTCTCTTGTCAGAGTTTCACACTTTTGCGTGTTATCTTCCTACATCTCCTGTCAGAAGAGTTTCACACCTTTGCATGTTATCTTCCTACATCTCCTGTCAGAGTTTCCCACCTTTACGTGTTATCTTCTCCCGTCTCTTGTCAGACTTTCGCCGTGTAGACTCATAAGCAAAGAACAAAAAACAAAACTACAAGAATGATAAAAAGTCCAAAATAGTATTGGCCGCCCTGTCACTAACCAGTGCGCCACACACTCAGACACCAAGGCCACACGGTCTTCTAGCTGATTACCCAGGAATGCAGCCCGCAGACAGAGGAATGAATGCTGAGTGGAGGCCTCGGGAGGCCCAGCACAGACAGGCCTAGGCGTGCAACAATTGCCGCTAGTGACCGGAGTCTCCCTCACACCGCCCGGCCAGTAAAGAGCGGAGTCGGGTGTCGCCTGTTTGAACTTCTCGTCCAGCGCAGACAACAGCTAGCATTCTCACCTGACCCGAGCAGATCTGATACCTGTTGAAGTTGATACCAGCACTAAAGACAGACGTCATTGAGGTTGGGGCGCGCTCAAGGCTGCTCAGTCTCCAACAGCAGTTTTATGTTCTCATGCTCTGTGGGAAAAGTTCTGGTTGTTTGTCCATTTATAGATTTTAGTCTTGCTCCAGAACTTGAGTTTTGCCTGCATATCCTTTTAAGACATGCTTGCTGTGGTTGTCGGGGTGGGGGGGGGGGGGGACCAGTGGGTTTTTTCTGGTTTCAAATGGGATACTAGAACCCACAGCAGGAGCTGTTAGAGTTAACTTCTAGTCGTTTAACTTTTGCTATTTCTGTAGTTCACTGTTGTAGTGAACTCTTGCTATTTCTGTAGTCCACTTTGTGGTGAACTCTTGCTATTTCTGTAGTCCTATGTTGTAGTTCTCTTGCTAATTTTGTAGTCCACTGTTGTAGTTCACTCTTGCTATTTCTGTAGTTCACTTTTGTGGTTAACTCGTACTATTGCAGTAGTCCAATGTTGTAGTTAACTCTTGCTAGTCTACTGTTGTTTTCATCTTTTGCTATTTCTTTAGTCCACTGTTTTAGTTAACTCTTGCTATTTCTGTAGTCCACTGTTGTAGTTAACTCTTTCACTGACCTTTTGTTATCCCCCTACTTCGTTCCTTCGTTAGTTTTGTGCTGACTGGTTACAGAATCAGTACTTGTTGTTTTCAAATTTGTTGATTAATTCAGTTAGTTTACTATGTCCCACTCCCTTCCCTCAACTTTTCCTTCCGTCTCTGAGTGATAGACAGGCTTTGGTGTTGGACGTACTGTACAAGGTACACACCAAAAGAGGGGATGGAATAAAAGCACGAGGTAGACCAAGAACAATATGGAAAGAAAACATCAGAGAAACTCCACAACAGCACGATGTGTGACCGAGGCACCCAAAAGCAGAACCTTACATCTCTCTCGACACTCTGAAGCGGCAAAAGAGAAAGTAAAGAAGGAGGAGGGGAAGTATAATCATCCTCATCATCATCATCAACACAATACATACACATTTAATCAACAAAAGTTATCGATAATTCACAGTAACAGACTGTCAACATAGACATGCACAGGCAACACAAACAAGGAGAAACACGCGGGAATGCAACAGCTGCAAGCTTTATCAAGTTCGAGATCTTAGTCCTGTAGTCGGTCCGGTCATAGGGTAGTGGGTGGACATCGTTAGCAGATGTGGTGGGTAAAGTCACGGGCAGCGCTGGTCAGTCTGGTCAGTTCCCGGACACAGCCCAGGAAAGTCCTGTAAAACATGGCGGCGTTTGTGGTCATACCCATGACCTCAGCTGTAGCCATAGTAACGTGTTGGCGGATGTTGCTGACCTTCTCCTTGACCTCTCGAATTTTTAGCGCCAGGTTCAGCAACTCGTGACCATGACCTTGGAAAAACTGGTCTGCCACAGCCTTGAAGGCTTTAGCGGTGTCTGTAGACATAAATTTGTTAATGGTATCAATAGACATATATTCGTTAATGGTATCAATAGACATATATTTGTTAACGGTATCAATAGACAGATATTTGTTAGTGGTATTATTCGACATACATTTGTTAGTGGTATCAATAGACAGATGTTTGTTAGTGGTTTTAATCGACAGACATTTTTAGTGGTATCAACAGACAAAATTTGTTAGTGGTATCAATAGACATGTATTTGTTAGTGGTATCAATCGACAGATATTTGTTAGTGGTATCAATATAATAAAATTTGTTAGTGGTATCAATAGACAGATATTTGTTAGCGGTATCAATCAACAGATATTTGTTAGTGGTATCAATAGACATAATTTGTTAGTGGTATCAATAGACAGATATTTGTTAGTGGTATCAATAGACATAATTTGTTAGTGGTATCAATAGTCATAATTTGTTAGTGGTATCAATAGACAGATATCTGTTAGTGGTATCAATAGACATATTTTGTTACTGGTATCAATAGACAGACATTTGGTATTAATAGACAGTCATCTGTTAGCAGTATCAAGAAAAATACATCTCTTAACTGTATCAATAGACACACATCTGTTAGCTGTATTAACCATACATACAGTTGTTAGCGGTACAAAAGACAGACAATTGTTGGTGGTACAGACAGACATTTGGTAATTATGGATATACATTTGTTAGTGATATCAGTATACATATATTTGTTAGTGGTATATTTGTTAATAGCATTCAATAGACAGATATTTGTTGGTGCTATCAATATACAGAGAGCTGTTGGTGGTATCAATAGACAGAGAAATGTTGGTGGTATCAATAGACAGAGAAATGTTGGTGGTATCAATAGACAGAGAAATGTTGGTGGTATCAATAGACAGAGAAATGTTGGTGCTATCAATATACAGAGAGCTGTTGGTGGTATCAATAGACAGAGAGCTGTTGGTGGTATCAATAGACAGAGAGCTGTTGGTGGTATCAATAGACAGAGAGCTGTTGGTGGTATCAATAGACAGAGCGCTGTTGGTGGTATCAATAGACAGAGAGCTGTTGGTGGTATCAATAGACAGAGAGCTGTTGGTGGTATCAATAGGCTTATTATTGTTAGCTGTAGCATGAAATAGACATAACTGTTAATGGTATAGACAGACATGCATTTTTTATTGGCATCAATAGACAGGAATTTGTTAGTTGTATAAATATACAGACATTTATTGTCTGGTATAGTTATTAGAATCGATACACATAGTGTTACGTATACGATAGGCAACAGACAGACTAAACTATATATGCGACCATGCACACCAAACATCTGAGCAGATGCGAAGAGGAAGACCAAGGAAGAGATGGCTAGACGACATAGCTCAATCCTGAAAAAAAAAATAAGAACATCAATCATGCCAGCCGAGAAGCGCAAGACAAGTACATAAAACAACAACACTAGGCTACAATTTGCTATCTGTGAGACGACAAAACAACGACACTGGGCTTCAACCTGCAATCTGTGGGACGACAAAACAACGACACTGGGTTACAACCTGCTTTCTGTGAGACGACAAAACAACGACACTAGGTTGCAACCTGCTATCTGTGAGACGACAAAACAACGACACTGGGCTTCAACCTGCAATCTGTGAGACGACAAAACAATGACACTAGGCTACAACCCGCTATCTGTGAGACGACAAAACAACGACACTGGGCTACAACCTGCAATCTGTGAGACGACAAAACAATGACACTAGGCTACAACCCGCTATCTGTGAGACGACAAAACAACGACACTGGGCTACAACCCGCTATCTGTGAGACGACAAAACAATGACACTAGGCTACAACCCGCTATCTGTGAGACGACAAAACAACGACTCTGGGCTACAACCTGCTATCTGTGAGACGACAAAACAACGACACTGGGTTACAACCCGCTATCTGTGAGACGACAAAACAACGACTCTGGGCTACAACCCGCTATCTGTGAGACGACAAAACAACGACACTGGGTTACAACCCGCTATCTGTGAGACGACAAAACAACGACTCTGGGCTACAACCCGCTATCTGTGAGACGACAAAACAACGACACTGGGTTGCAACCTGCTATCTGTGAGACGACAAAACAACGACACTGGGTTACAACCCGCTATCTGTGAGACGACAAAACAACGACACTAGGCTACAATTTGCTATCTGTGAGACGACAAAACAATGACACTAGGCTACAACCCGCTATCTGTGAGACGACAAAACAACGACACTAGGCTACAATTTGCTATCTGTGAGACGACAAAACAACGACACTAGGCTACAACCCGCTATCTGTGAGACAACAAAACAACGACACCAGGCTACAACCCGCTATCTGTGAGACGACAAAACAACGACACTGGGCTACAGCCTGGTATCTGTGAGGCGACAACACCACGACACTCGGCTACAGCCTGGTATCAGTAAGACGTCAAAACCACGACACTTGGCTACAACTTGGCATCAGTGAGCTGTCAAAACCACGACACTAAGCTACAGCCTGGTATCTGTGAGGCGACAAAACCACGACACTGGGCTACAATCTGGTATCAGTGAGACGTCAAAACCACGACACTGAGCTACAGCCTGGTATCTGTGAGGCAACAAAACCACGACACTGAGCTACAGCCTGGTATCAGTGAGACGTCAAAACCACGACACTGGGCTACAGCCTGGTATCAGTGAGACGACAAAACCACGACTTTGGGCTTCAGTCTGGTATCAGTCAATTCAGCAGACATCAAAAGAGAAAATCCCACCAACCCATAGAGTTGCAAAATAGAAATGGATGTCAACCGAAATTCTGCAGTTGATGGATGCAAGAAGGAAGAAAAAGAATGATAAAGAAGAATACTCTAGAATACAAAAATAAATAGTGAACAAATGCAAAGTGGCTAAAGAAGCCTAGCTGAATCAAATGTGTACAGAGATGGGGAAAAATCACAGGAAAGACTCACATTCCATGTATCAGCAGATAAATATGTTAACAGGAAAGATGACACGTAACAGCACTGATGTTTGAAATAAAAAAATCGTGACTTATTAATGGACATAGTAATATAATTAACAGATGGACAGAGTATCTAGGGGACTTGTATGATGATTATAGACCAGATGTAGAACTGCAGACCAAAAATGATGGTCCACCAATAATGACTGCAGAAGTTGAGGATGCAATACATCATATAAAGAAAGGAAAAGCACCCGGGCCAGACAACGTCTCACTGGAAGAAATCTAAGCACTGGGAGATTTTGCAATTGAAATAATAACTAAACTTTTAAAGGATATTTATAATAATGGGTATATTCCAAATTACCTTTTAAAGTTCATATTTATAGCTCTGCTAAAGAAACCAGGCACTTTAAAATGTAAAGACCATCGTACAATAAGTCTTATGAGTCACATGACTAAGATTTTACTGAGAATAATTATGAGAAGAATAAAAATCCAAATTAAACCAGAAATCAGCGATGAACAATGTGGATTTGTAGAAGGAAAAGGTACAAACAATGCCATATACATCCTAAGGACATTATCAGAAAGAGCTATAGAAGTAAAGACTGATTTGTACTTGTGCTTCATAGACTATACAAAAGCATTTGACTGTTTGAAGCATGAAGAAGTAATCAAACTGTTAGAAAAATTAAACATTGATGGGAAAGATCTACGAATAAAAAAGAATATGTATTGGCAGCAAACAGCAGCTATAAGAATTAACAACTGTTTAGGTGCATTTCAAAGCATAAAGAGGGGCGTACGACAAGGATGTGTACTGTCACCTGATTTGTTTTCAATATACAGTGAATATATTATGAGATCTTTAATTGATATGCCCGGAATTGTGATTGGTGGGCACAATATAAACAATTTACGTTATGCTGATGACACAGTCTTGATAGCAACAAGTCAGAAAGAACTACAGGAAATGATAGACATTGTGGTGTTAGAAAGTGGAAGAATGGGCCTCACTTTGAATAATGGGAAGACAGAAGTAATGGTGGTATTAAAGAAACGAATTATTCCTAAATGTGCAATAAAAGTCGATGGTGTTATTTTAGGACAAGTAAAGAAATTTAAGTATCTGTGCACATGGATAACATCAGATGGAAGATGCATAACTGAGATAAGAAACAGAATTGGACAGGCAAAAACTGCATTTTATAAATGAAAAACATCTTGTGCAATATATCCTTTTCACTGAGAGTTAGAAAAAGAATTCTTGCTTGCTACATACCTCCAGTTTTAACATATGGCCGTGAATCCTGGACAATCTTGTAGGCAGGCCAAACAATTTCTTGAGGCCTCAGAGATGTGATTTTACAGAAGAATGCCTAGAATTCCTTGGACAGCCAAGAAGAGCAACCAAGAGGTTTTGAAAGAGGCGGGAGCCAGAAGAAAACTTATCACAGATATCAGAAGGAGACAGTCATCATTTTTCGGCCATGTTATGAGAAGAGGGAAAATAGAACATGTTGTGACCACTGGAAAGATCTGTGGAAGGAGGGATAGAGGAAGACAACGAGAGAAGATGCTTGACAGTCTTGTTGCATGGCACTGATACATGTTGCAGGAGATCGCAGATTATGGAGAGGCATGATGGCCCACGCCAGTCGGCAAGGCACCTGATAATGTTCAGTGGGACGACAGCATGTGAAGGAGCACGCAGATGTGACACATGGACGTCTATTGTTGTCCATATAGGGAAGAGCAGTGTAGGGCGTAACTGTTAGAGAGAGGACTATGTTGAATTAATTAATGCCGTTATAAGGAGTGACATGTGTTGGATGCAACTGTGACAGTGATGTAAGGAAAGAGACATACTGGCTGTAATTGTTACCGATGTAAGGAAAAAGACGTACTGGCTGTAATTGTTACCGATGTAAGGAAAGAGACGTACTGGCTGTAATTGTTACCGATGTAAGGAAAAAGACGTACTGGCTGTAATTGTTACCGATGTAAGGAAAGAGACGTACTGGCTGTAATTGTTACCGATGTAAGGAAAGAGACGTACTGGCTGTAATTGTTACCGATGTAAGGAAAGAGACGTACTGGCTGTAATTGTTACCGATGTAAGGAAAGAGACGTACTGGCTGTAATTGTTACCGATGTAAGGAAAGAGACGTACTGGCTGTAATTGTTACCGATGTAAGGAAAGAGACGTACTGGCTGTAATTGTTACCGATGTAAGGAAAGAGACGTACTGGCTGTAATTGTTACCGATGTAAGGAAAGAGACGTACTGGCTGTAATTGTTACCGATGTAAGGAAAGAGACGTACTGGCTGTAATTGTTACCGATGTAAGGAAAGAGACATACTGGCTGTAATTGTTACCGATGTAAGGAAAAAGACGTACTGGCTGTAATTGTTACCGATGTAAGGAAAGAGACGTACTGGCTGTAATTGTTACCGATGTAAGGAAAGAGACGTACTGGCTGTAATTGTTACCGATGTAAGGAAAGAGACGTACTGGCTGTAATTGTTACCGATGTAAGGAAAGAGACGTACTGGCTGTAATTGTTACCGATGTAAGGAAAGAGACGTACTGGCTGTAATTGTTACCGATGTAAGGAAAGAGACGTACTGGCTGTAATTGTTACCGATGTAAGGAAAGAGACGTACTGGCTGTAATTGTTACCGATGTAAGGAAAGAGACGTACTGGCTGTAATTGTTACCGATGTAAGGAAAGAGACGTACTGGCTGTAATTGTTACCGATGTAAGGAAAGAGATGTTTTGGATGTAAATGTAATACCGATGTAAGGAAAGAGATGTGTTGACTATAATTGTTACCGATGTAAGGAAAGAGATGTGTTGGCTGTAATTGTAATACCGATGTAAGGAAAGAGATGTGTTGACTATAATTGTTACCGATTCAAGGAAAGTGATGTGTTAGACACAACTGTAATACTGTTGTAAGAAGAAAGATGCAAGAGATGTGTTGGAAGGAACTGTTTACCAGTGTAAGATAATGTATGTAGGAGACATGCTGGAGGTAACAATTGCTGATGTTAGTAAACGGACGAAAAGATATGCTGAATTAAATGGTCACCGATGTAGGTAAACGGACGTAAAGATTTGCTGAATGAAATGGTCACCAATGTAATGAAACAGATTGTTGAGTCATGCTGGAAGTAATGATTACCGTTGAGCGAAACAACACTGTTTCTTGAATAGTTTGTCAAGATGGCGTAGAGCTGCGAGTCCGCGGAAGTCATCGGGGCCAGGAGATCAAGAAAGTGAGGCCTGGAGATATCAGCTGCCATCTGCAAGTGGAACGGGTCATGCTCCACTGACTCCATGGGTGGCTGGTGATGTTCTTGCATTTCTTCAGATGACGAAGTAGATTCACCGGAGTCTGAGATGTTTGGTGCCAGATGACTAGTGATCGTTGTTTGATGATTGATATTTGGTGCCAGGTGACTAGGGATCGTTGTTTGATGACTGATGTTTGGTGCCAGGTGACTAGGGATCGTTGTTTGATGATTGATGTTTGGTGCCAGGTGACTAGGGATCGTTGTTTGATGATTGATGTTTGGTGCCAGGTGACTAGTGATCGCTGTTTGAGGATTGGTGTTTTGATTCTGGTTGCATATGATGAAGTGACCCAGTATATCGTTCAAGTTGTCTTTGACCTCGAGGAGAGGGCCAAGGATGTTGGCGGAGAGTAGGGGCAGGTGACTGCTGATGTTGTGAACCAGCTGGTGTAGAGTGGATAAAGCTGTCATGTAGAGGCAAACAGCGTGAGGTCAATGCCTGGTGGAAAATCTTGACACAGATCTAATTCTATAAATTGTGTGGAGGGACTGACTGAGCTAAAGATGACACGGGGTGTTTGACTGACCTAGACTGATTCACTAAAGATAACATGGGGTGTTTGACTGACCTAGACTGATTCACTAAAGATAACATGGGGTATTTGACTGACCTAGACTGATTCACTAAAGATAACATGGGGTGTTTGACTGACCTAGACTGATTCACTAAAGATGACATGGGATGTTTGACTGACCTAGACTGATTCACTAAAGATGACATGGGGTGTTTGACTGACCTAGACTGATTCACTAAAGATGACATGGGGTGTTTGACTGACCTAGACTGATTCACTAAAGATGACATGGGGTGTTTGACTGACCTAGACTGATTCACTAAAGATGACATGGGATGATTGATTGAACACAGATTGATTCACCAGGGACGATGTTTGGTGATTGACTGAACCAGAGATTGATTCACTAACGATGACTTGGAGTGATTAACTTAACCAGAGACTGATTTACTAACGACGACATGTAGTGGCTGACTGAACCAGAGACTAATTACCTAAAGATGACATGCGACGACTGACTGAACCAGAGATTGATTCACTAACGATGACTTGGAGTGATTAACTTAACTAGAGACTGATTTTCTAACGATGACATGTGGTGGCTGACTGAACCAGAGACTAATTACCTAAAGATGACATGCGACGACTGACTGAACCAGAGATTGATTCACTAACGATGACTTGGAGTGATTAACTTAACTAGAGACTGATTTTCTAACTATGGCATGTGGTGGCTGACTGAACCAGAGATTAATTACCTAAAGATGACATGCGACGACTGACTGAACCAGAGACTAATTACCTAAAGATGACATGCGACGACTGACTGAACCAGAGACTAATTACCTAAAGATGACATGCGACGACTGACTGAACCAGAGACTAATTACCTAAAGATGACATGCGACGACTGACTGAACCAGAGACTAATTACCTAAGATGACATGCGACGACTGACTGAACCAGAGACTAATTACCTAAAGATGACATGCGACGACTGACTGAACCAGAGACTAATTACCTAAAGATGACATGCGATGACTGACTGAACCAGAGACTAATTACCTAAAGATGACATGCGACGACTGACTGAACCAGAGACTGATTCACTGATGATGACATCTGATTAGTGACTAAGCCAGAGATTAATGCACTAACGATAATATGTTGGGGGGGGGGGGGGGGGGTGGGAGAGTTCGAGAATGATTGACTGAACCAGAGACTCATTCTCTAATCATGACATAGAATAACTGACTGAAGTGGAGACTGATTTACCAACGATGATGTTGGATAAATTGACTGAACCAGAGGCCCTAACGATAACGCGGAGTGATTGACTGAGCCAGATAATGATTCCCTAACGATAACGCAGAGTGATTGACTGAGCCAGATAATGATTCCCTAACGATAACGCGGAGTGATTGGCTGAGCCAGATAATGATTCCCTAACGATAACGCGGAGTGATTGGCTGAGCCAGATAATGATTCCCTAACGATAACGCGGAGTGATTGGCTGAGCCAGATAATGATTCCCTAACGATGTCTTGGGATGATTGACTGAAGCAGACACTGATTTACAAGCGATGATATGGGGTGATCGACTGAATCAGAGATTCATTCACTGTCGGACACTGCATAGACACCGGAACCTAGAAGTCAGGCCGACATCCCCCCCCCCCTGCCCATCCTCCCAACACATGTTTCTGGCGACCAAGCACCCACCCTGCCCTTGATTTAAAAAAAATGCTATTGGGGGGTGGGGGTGGGGGAGGAAGGGGGGGGGGGTTAAACTGAAAGTATTTGTTTTCACATTTTATGTTATTTCACATATTTTTCTTAATTATTGACCAAACAAGCACATACTAAAAATAAAAATCTGTGATTGTCTGAGATGATTGGCTGTGATTGTCCGAGATAATTGACTGTAATTGCCTGAGATGATTGACTGTGATTGCCTGAGATAATTGACTGTAATTGTCTGAGATGATTGACTGTGACTGTCTGAGATGATTGACTGTGACTGTCTGAGATGATTGACTGTGATTGCCTGAGATGATTGACTGTGACTGTCTGAGATGAATGACTGTGATTGCCTGATATGATTGACTGTGACTGCCTGCGATGATTGACTGTGATTGCCTGCGATGATTGACTGAAATACCTGTTGTTACCTGAAATAAGAGACTGAATCTGGGAGATGATGTTGCCCACCTCTAGGTGTACCTGGGTAGCCCAGTCTTTGTAGTCGCCAGCCAGTTCCTTGAAGACCTTCAGTACGTCTGCCACACGTCAACAACATCGTCAGTGTCATCCGTGATTTTCTTCTACAGCATATTTATTTTATCAAGACCACCATCACCACCAATACCACCAGAACCACCACTACCATCTCCACAATCATCATCACCACCACAACCACCACCATCATCACCACTACTACCAAAAACCACTACCATCGCTACAATCATCATCACCCCCACAACCACCACCATCATCACCACTACTACCACCACCACTACCATCGCTACAATCATCATCACCACCACAAACGTCACCACAACCACCTTCACCACCACCAACACCATCACCACCACTACCATCGCCCCAATCATCATAATCACAACCACCACTACAACCACCAGCACAACCACCACAGCAACCACCCCCGCAACCACCACCACAACCATTACCACAATCGCAACCACCATCACAACCACCACCACAACCACCACAACAACTACTATCACAACCACCACCACAACCACCAGCACCACCACAACCACCATCACAACCACCACCAACACCGCCACCACCACCACAACAACCACCACAACAACCACCACCACAACCACCACCACAACCAAAACAACCACCATCACAACCACGATCACCACCACAACCACCACCATCACAACCACCACCATAACCACCATCACAACCACCACCACCACCATGACAACCGCCACCACAATCACCACAACAACCACTATCACAACCACCACCACGACCACCACCACCACAACCACCATCACAACCACCACCACCACAACCACCACAACCACCATCACAACCGCCACCACAACCACAACCACAACCCCCACCACCACCACCATCCCAACCGCCACCACAATTACTACAACAACCACTATCACAACCGCTACCACAACCACCATCACAACCACCACCACAACCGCAACCCCCCCCCCCCACCACCATCCCAAACGCCACCACAATCACCACAACCGTCACCACCACCATTACAACCACCACCACAACCACCACCACAATTACAACCGCCACCACAATCTTCATAACAACCACCACCACAACCCCCACCACCACCACCATCATAACAGCCACCACAATAACCACAACAACCACTATCACAACCGCCACCACAACCACCATCACAACCACCACAACCCCTCCCCCCACCAACACCATCCCAACCGCCATCACAATCACCACCACAACCACCACCGCCACCACCACCACCACAACCACCACCACAACCACCACCACCACCACAACCACCACCACCATCACAACCGCCACCACAATCACCACAACAACCACCACCACAACCACTACCACAATCGCAACCACCAACGCTACCGCCACAATCACCACCACCGAAACCACCGGCAACAATTTCAGCATCATCATCCTCACAGTTACCATAAGTTTGCACAAATATCCTCCAGACTTCTACAGTTTATTTATAATTATCAACGCCATCCCCCCTTCACTACCTTTATCGTCACTATGATAACAATATCACCCCTTCCTCCCCTCCACCTTCCTATCAAACCCATAAACCAGTTTCTATAAAATCTCTACTGACTTTGTCGATTTATTTATAAATTAAAGAAAAATAATGATTCAAGGGTTTGGAATATTGTCCAGCTGACAGTCTGTTCTACTGGAGCTCAGATGGTGCAGTCACTGGACAGTCTGTTCTACTGGAGCCCAGATGTCGCAGTCACTGGACAGTCTGTTCTACTGGAGCCCAGATGTCGCAGTCACTGGACAGTCTGTTCTACTGGAGCCCAGATGGCGCAGTCATTGGACAGTCTGTTCTACTGGAGCCCAGATGTCGCAGTCACTGGACAGTCTGTTCTACTGGAGCTCAGATGGCGCAGTCACTGGACAGTCTGTTCTACTGGAGCCCAGATGTCGCAGTCACTGGACAGTCTGTTCTACTGGAGCTCAGATGGCGCAGTCACTGGACAGTCTGTTCTACTGGAGCTCAGATGGCGCAGTCAATGGACTGTCTGTTCTACTGGAGCCCAGATGGCGCAGTCACTGGACTGTCTGTTCTACTGGAGCTCAGATGGCGCAGTCACTGGACTGTCTGTTCTACTGGAGCTCAGATGGCGCAGTCACTGGACAGTCTGTTTTACTGGAGTCCAGATGTCGCAGGCACTGGACAGTCTGTTCTAATGGAGCCCAGATGTCGCAGTCACTGGACAGTCTGTTCTACTGGAGCCCAGATGGCGCAGTCATTGGACAGTCTGTTCTACTGGAGCCCAGATGTCGCAGTCACTGGACAGTCTGTTCTACTGAAGCTCAGATGGCGCAGTCACTGGACAGTCTGTTCTACTGGAGCTCAGATGGCGCAGTCACTGGACAGTCTGTTCTACTGGAGCTCAGATGGCGCAGTCACTGGACAGTCTGTTCTAATGGAGCACAGATGGCGCAGTCACTGGACTGTCTGTTCTACTGGAGCCCAGATGGCGCAGTCACTGGACAGTCTGTTCTACTGGAGCCCAGATGTCGCAGTCACTGGACTGTCTGTTCTACTGGAGCTCAGATGGCGCAGTCACTGGACTGTCTGTTCTACTGGAGCTCAGATGGCGCAGTCACTGGACAGTCTGTTTTACTGGAGTCCAGATGTCGCAGTCACTGGACAGACTGTTCTACTGGAGCCCAGATGTCGCAGTCACTGGACAGTCTGTTCTACTGGAGCCCAGATGTCGCAGTCATTAGACAGTCTGTTCTACTGGAGCCCAGATATCGCAGTCACTGGACAGTCTGTTCTACTGAAGCTCAGATGGCGCAGTCACTGGACAGTCTGTTCTACTGGAGCCCAGATGTCGCAGTCACTGGACAGTCTGTTCTACTGGAGCTCAGATAGCGCAGTCACTGGACAGTCTGTTTTACTGGAGCTCAGATGGCGCAGTCACTAGACTGTCTGTTCTAATGGAGCCCAGATGGCGCAGTCACTGGACTGTCTGTTCTACTGGAGCCCAGATGTCGCAGTCACTGGACAGTCTGTTCTACTGGAGCTCAGATGACGCAGTCACTGGACAGTCTGTTCTACTGGAGCTCAGATGACGCAGTCACTGGACAGTCTGTTCTACTGGAGCCCAGATGTCGCAGTCATTGGACAGTCTGTTCTACTGGAGCTCAGATGGCGCAGTCACTGGACAGTCTGTTCTACTGGAGCTCAGATGGCGCAGTCACTGGACAGTCTGTTCTAATGGAGCACAGATGGCGCAGTCACTGGACTGTCTGTTCTACTGGAGCCCAGATGGCGCAGTCACTGGACTGTCTGTTCTACTGGAGCTCAGATGGCGCAGTCACTGGACTGTCTGTTCTACTGGAGCTCAGATGGCGCAGTCACTGGACAGTCTGTTCTAATGGAGCCCAGATGTCGCAGTCACTGGACAGTCTGTTCTACTGGAGCCCAGATGGCGCAGTCACTGGACAGTCTGTTCTACTGGAGCCCAGATGTCGCAGTCACTGGACAGTCTGTTCTACTGAAGCTCAGATGGCGCAGTCACTGGACAGTCTGTTCTACTGGAGCTCAGATGGCGCAGTCACTGGACAGTCTGTTCTACTGGAGCTCAGATGGCGCAGTCACTGGACAGTCTGTTCTAATGGAGCACAGATGGCGCAGTCACTGGACTGTCTGTTCTACTGGAGCTCAGATGGCGCAGTCACTGGACAGTCTGTTTTACTGGAGTCCAGATGTCGCAGTCACTGGACAGTCTGTTCTACTGGAGCCCAGATGTCGCAGTCACTGGACAGTCTGTTCTACTGGAGCCCAGATGTCGCAGTCATTAGACAGTCTGTTCTACTGGAGCCCAGATATCGCAGTCACTGGACAGTCTGTTCTACTGAAGCTCAGATGGCCCAGTCACTGGACAGTCTGTTCTACTGGAGCCCAGATGTCGCAGTCACTGGACAGTCTGTTCTACTGGAGCTCAGATGGCGCAGTCACTGGACAGTCTGTTTTACTGGAGCTCAGATGGCGCAGTCACTAGACTGTCTGTTCTAATGGAGCCCAGATGGCGCAGTCACTGGACTGTCTGTTCTACTGGAGCCCAGATGGCGCAGTCACTGGACTGTCTGTTCTACTGGAGCCCAGATGGCGCAGTCACTGGACAGTCTGTTCTACTGGAGCCCAGATGTCGCAGTCATTGGACAGTCTGTTCTACTGGAGCTCAGATGGCGCAGTCACTGGACTGTCTGTTCTACTGGAGCTCAGATGGCGCAGTCACTGTACAGTCTGTTCTACTGGAGCCCAGATGGCGCAGTCACTGGACTGTCTGTTCTACTGGAGCCCAGATGGCGCAGTCACTGGACTGTCTGTTCTACTGGAGCCCAGATGGCGCAGTCACTGGACAGTCTGTTTTACTGGAGCCATCATGTCGCAGTCACTGGATGATCTGTTCTACTGGGGACGAGATGTCGCAGTCACTGGACGATCCGTTTTACTGGGGCCGAGATGTCGCAGTCACCGGACGATCTGTTTTACTGGGGCCGAGATGTAGCAGTCACTGGACGGTCTGCTCTACAAAGGCCGAGATGTCGCAGTCACTGGACGATCTGTTCTACTGGGGCCGAGATGGCGCAGTCACTGGACGGTCTGTTCTACTGGAGCCTAGATGACCCAGTCACTGGACGGTCTGTTCTACTGGAGCGAGATGGTGCAGTCACTGGACGATCTGTTCTACTGGGGCCGAGATGTCGCAGTCACTGAACAGTCTGTTCTACTGGAGCCGAGATGTCGCAGTCACTTTGTGATCTTTTCTACTGGTGCCGAGATATCGCAGTCACTGGACGATCTGTTCTACTAGGGGTGAGATTGCGGAGTTATTGAACTTGTCGCTGCCCGTCCTAAAGTCTCCGACTGCAATTTGAGTGTTGAATTAAGAATCGACATCACAGCACTCTGGACACTCCCATAAGGGCTCCGCTCCTATCTTCAGCAGCCAGCGAATAGTTCCAATTCCAATGGCACCAGTAACCGTCTGATTGTCTATCTGTCTCATCCTTCCCCTGAGTGTTGAGCGGCGGCCAGATCACCTGGTGACTCCTCGCATCGCCATTCTCCTCAGACCGTAATGATCTATCTGCGCCTCCGCACTGTTCACTCGTTTCCAAAGGGCCCTCATAATATCTAGCTTGTCATACATCATTTCACCACTAAGTATTCAGCGCCGGCCAGTCCATCTGCCTGCTCATTTCCCAACACACCGGCTTGACCTGGAGAAAATATCCAAAGGATGCTACCAGGGACCTCTGAAGTGATTCTTTGAGTCTGTTATAATCACGGCATGTGTGTACGGCTTATTCGACTGAAATGTGAATCGGGCAAATATCTATTTTCTCAAATTACAAGAAAATACAATAAATAGGTAGGCCCATCCTAAAACAAGCACCAGGAAGTAAACGCGGCCGGTGTGATATTGACTACATCCCCATTTTGTGTAGATCTGGTTTATGCAAATTTAGGTCTAGCACCATATTTCCCACGAGTCATTTGCGGGAGAAGGGTCCTAGGCCTTCAGTATCACTGTCCCATACGACTTTCACTTCTACCACCACTCCCTCCATCACCACGACTTCCACTTCTACCACTACTGCCACCACCACCACTACAAAGCTTCTACCACCACTGCCTTCACCACCACCACA